ATTGTACAGTGGCATAATGTGCACATCTGCCTACCCCTTCGGGGATAAAATACGTGATGGTTTAGTGTACGAGTTACGTGGTAAGATGAAAAGAACTAACTTCTTCTTAGGTGGAGCAGAAATGGTGTTACTAAAAAAGATATCCTGAAAAATAGGGCTTTTAAAGACATTTTTGGTTTCACCAACATATAAGTGACATTAACATAATATAACATCGCGCCTTTTATACGTGCCGTGGCCGTGGGCCGTGGGCCGTGAGCCAATTACCATATACCGGGCACATTTCAGACTCCGTGATACTACTGACAATCTTTTAATTAAAACCCAGTAATACTTTGCTCGACCCGGGAATCTAACCCGAGACCCCTTGCCCGGCAGTCGCACTTGCGACCACTCGGCCAGCGAGGCAATCATAAGTGACATCTAAAGTATTAGTAAGTAAGGGGTAAGTTTAGGTGCTTTCTTACGCTAAGTAACTTTTAGTTAAGTGACAGTTTAGGGGTGCTGGTGAAATATTGCTAGTGTACCACAACACTGGTCTAATACCTAGTCTAAATAGATGTATAGATCTGGGCAGTCAGGGAAATTTGTATTTTCGGAATTTTCAGTAACTTAATGTAAAAATGAAAAGAATTTAAGTGAAATCCCCATACATGACTTTTCAGCTTACCCCTTTTGTAGAATAAAAGGAGCCATGTTATATAACGTCTATAAAAATACCGCTGACCTTGAGCATTAAAAATACCACAATATAATTATTTTCTTTCATAATAACTTCGATATATTTACCTAATGTCCATTAAACATTAGTATTCGTTCGCAAAACCAAATTACAGTACCTAACTCATATGATTAGAATTTATACAAAGCGAATTAGATGACAATCTGAACAGATAGCGATCGCAATTACAAAACGGTTTCAAAACAGCATAACCTCCGCCATTTTATTCCAACATCACTGGCCGGTGTACATGCCAATAGATTTAAATATCGAACAGAATACAGATTAAAAATAATTCTCATAAAACAAAATGTTGTCGAAAAAGGTTTTAATAGTTGTTCTTTATTTGACAGTTTTGATGACTTTTGTTGTTTGTCAAGATGAGACTACGATGTCAGCTACTACGAAAGGAGAGGAGGAAGAAGAAGAGGAACCAGCAAAGAAGGGCTGTTCCATCTGGTGCTGGATACAGAAGATTGCGATGTTTATCGTCTCCCAACTTCTGAGTGGTAACTGAACATGATTGATTAAATTTTTTGAAATAATATTACTTTTTATTTAATTTGTCTCTAAAGCTTTGGTGACAGATTCTGTCTTTACCTGCGTAGTAACTAATCATTAGAAATCATCATCAATAATCATAAATAATACTAGGTTGGCTCTCAATTTTTTCTCTGTTGTGAGTTCGGTACACAAACCAGACTGTTATTAAAACTAGATTCGAGTGAAAACTTGTTCCACAGACCTAAAAGACTATAAAAAATTGTGTCCATAAAAAAAAATAACGTTCGCAACGTAACGTTCAATCTATGTCACAATTGAGGCATGCATGGTGCGATATAGTTTAAAACTGTTTGCAAAAAGTTTACCAAAATCGTGATAGACTCGAAAAATAAGGTTCGTATCTATCTTTGAAAAAAAAAATATAGGTATTTAAAATCTTTATTCTTTTAACCATTAAATAAATGATGCTGGCAGTTTCTATTTTCCATAATACATTGGCTAAACAAGAAAAAAGTTTAACGTTTGTTAAGGTAAAAGCATTGTAATTTAAAAAACGTTCTAGAATGCCTTCAAAGGATTCCCAATTTGAATTTCAAATGACTTTCCAGATTTTGATCAACTTATTTTCTAGAAGCATTCAAATTAAGTGTTTTATATATGAACGGTTTTATTAAAAAGAAAAAGAGATCTGACAATGCTTTGAAGCAATTAATTTTCATTTATTTTATAACACAATACAGAATCAAATTATTATTGTGTTATAGGATTATGCTGATGAAAAAGTTTTTTAAATAACTATTCATGTATTGCGGTATCAAATTAAGATGGCGAATGAAAATAAAAATGAGGTGTATAAAAAAATATTTGAACGAAGAAATCTAAAACTAAAAGTATTCTATTTTCACACTCGCTTAACAAATAGTACATATTCGTTCTATAAATACATAATAGCTACAAATTAATTAGAGTACATCGATCCCCAAAATAGCTAAATAATATCTACTCTTGTCCTATTCATAATTACATAATTGGTCGAAATTTATTCTTCATTAAGAAACCTGTGTTAATTTTGTAGGTAGAATATTTGAAAGTAAAATGAACAATGATAATATGGAATGAAAATACTTTGTTTCATTGTGAATTAATACTAATAATCCACTTTCGAATATTCGAAAACAAATACATATCTTTTACGCTAAAGTTGGTCAGAGGCCGTTCATCATATCCTACATATCCCATCTTTCTCCTATCTTTCAGTTGTTCCATTGTGTTCTATTTGTGTTTAATTTATTCTTTTATCTAGTTGCTTACTTATTTATTGAACTCTACGCTGAAATAGTTTAGCAGGCATAGTTTTGAAAAGTAATTGATTGTTTCCGATTGTTAAGGAAGATGATGTGTTAAAACATATAGAATTCTTACGTGTCACTTTTTCTATACCACAAAAGACCACTGGTGGGAGTAGGTAACTCTTTTAATTCTTATAATATCCCGTAAAAGTTTATTTTCGTTGATATTTAGTCAGGTAATTTTCCTCGTAAAACCCAAAATTAGATAAAGAATTTGAGATATTCATGCGACATGGTTAGCACACAATAGTCGTTTATCGTCATTACATTTTGTTTGGACGCAAATTAAGCATTAACGCGAGGGAGAGTATCCGTGGAGACTCGAGGGACTCCATTTAATATGTTCTATACGAATCAGTTGCCGATTGGAACTGCTCTTTTGACGGGCCAATGTGAAACCATTCGCGTAGAAATTCCATTTCAATTGACATGACATGTTCTCCTTCGACAGTTTGCAACTTGTTATTTGTTTGCTCAACGAATTTGCCAATCCACGAGGAAAAATCAAAGGAAATAAAACGCCAACATCTATTGACAGTTTCATACAAAATCATTTTTATTAGAACAAATGTGTTTAGAACTTCGTTTTAATATTTATCAACGAAACCTTGATTCAAGTGAATTAGGTTGGTGGTTAATTAAACGCAGTTTTTGCTGGGGACATCAAAGAGAGGTAAGGATCAACAATCTAATTAATTAATGGACACAAAATCTCGGGTGAAAATAGTAAATGGGTCGTCTTTTTTTATAAAGTAATGGCGGATGGGGAACTGAATTAGTTACATTAGTAGAATTCTGTATAAATGTGTGCAGTCGTTGAAGACCTTGGCTTTTTTACAAACGTCTTGTTTATGTTGAGTTGCTTCTGCGTTCTCCATGCAGGAACCTCCGTAGTCCATGATTGAGGTCTTTTGATCTAGTTGGTGAGCGATTTGAACTCGTTTTCTGTAACGAAGAAGACTTGTCTATAAATTAGACTAGACTTGTCTATAATCTAGAAGTCAGTGTTTCTTTTTCTTTGTTATTAACCCCTTTAAAAGGCTTATTTGATCAATTATTCTCACTATAAGCTGTTAATAAATGCCAGAACAAAAAATGTTTCCCTGTACAAACTATAACTAAGCATTAATCACACGGTCTATTACAAAACTTCTTTACACCCTTTACTCCTTTCCCCAAAGAATGACTACAAATCCTCAAAATCCCGTTTTAGCGGCGAAATTCTGGACCGAACACTTCTTTTATCATTTATCTAGATTCCGTCTCAGCGTGTTATGTGGACATGTATCTGACAGTTAGGAGACGGGACCGATTTATAATATGGAAGTGTTGAAACGAGGTATCATGTTCGAGATTTCTTCTGTATCTAGTCTGAATATTAACATTGGCTTTTTGAGATTTTTGTACATGTGACAATGAAAGCATATTTTTACTCATGATGATGAGGTCATTAGGATCTTGTTCCGATTCACGAGATAAGACATATGTTTATGAGTTAGGAGGTAAGCGAGCAAGCGAGTCACTTGGTGGTAAGTATGGTAAGTATGATCAGCGTCACCCATTGACTGGACAACCACAACACGTTGACTTATTAGGCATTGCCGAGGACTTAAAAAGGACTGTGTTTTTATGATAACTATCGTGAGACATACTAAATTAACTAAAAATCGCGGGTTACTCACGTGAATATACTGAGAAAGGCTCTACTAGTTTCGAACCACAGAGTAGTCTGCGCGACATCACCGCGACTACGCACGCTGCTCATGAGGAAGAACCCCTCTGTGGTTCGAAACTAGTAGAGCCTTTCTCAGTATATTTACGTGAGTAACCCGCGATTTTAGTTAATTTAGGACTACGTACTCTTTTTTCTTGAAGGTTACAGTTGAAGTGCTTGCTTTTGTCCCTTTTTAAACTTAACCAAGTAAAACTATAATTATACACCGTGAAATCTATTTCGTTTCCTTTCCGAAGTAAAATGGTTCTGTCTCGGTAATGCAATAGTTTCACAAAGAAATAAAATGTTTAAAACTAAAAATAACTGGTGAGCCAAAAAGCAAACTTCGAAAGCGGATACGAAGTCATAGCACCTACATTATCAAAACATCACATCATGTAATTCTCGAAGAGGTATTTGGGTGGCACGTGCGATGCGAATAGTGGCTACTTACGTCTAGTTTCTCATGTGCGTATTTCAATTTTTTTTTAAACTAAAACAATGGCACCTTTTTTTTGACTTTATGCATCAAAAGTGCTTATAGCGAGTGATTGTTGTTGTTATGACTAAACGAAATAGATTTCACGGTGTATTATGGAAAGGGATCTAAGACCCTCAAATTTAATACTCATATTTACTATTAAAACAAAAATCTCACCTATAAATATCCAGATTGATAACACCAGATGCACTAATAATGCCAAATTTTTTGAGGACGCAAAATATAATGCAGGGTTCATCTGATTCCTGGATTTCGATGCGCTTGTTCTTAGGGTACATTTCTGATAGACACTGCTGTGCAACTAAATCACTTAACTTGTCGTGGGCATACATCACTGATATGCGAGCGTGAGCGAAGCCGGAGAGCGTTATAAAAGTAAAAATTAGGATTTCTGAAACAAATAAAAACACTATTTAAGTACACGCGCGGCGCAGTTGCCGGTATACAAGAAATCTGTTCTGTTTTGAATCGTAGTTCTAAGTCTAGGTATCATGTGTTTGTGAAATATCATAATTGCATTGAATTGGGTAAACAGCAGTACAATTGTACATTCTTTTTAAGATAATAGCAATCTTTTGCCGTACTAATTTCATTATTACTAGCGGCATTTAATCTTAATCACCTTTTTATGAGGCTAGTCGTCATTAGGTATGTTACCGCATGACCTTCACTACAGAACATAAGCCTTCTCTATTCCTTCCAAACTATGTACATATAATAACTCTCGAATAATCTAAGTCTCGTCCCCTATATTAGTTCTCAACTAACATGAAACTTCTAAGAAAAAGTTACACTAGTAAACCCACAGGCAGATGTCAGTTGATTTATCAGCAAAAAGTTTCATCAGAATTACTTCAAGCGAGGAGCATATCTATGTAAGAAATAATTCCAAGGAGGCCTATATAGGGTCTGAACTAAATTTCAAGGAAAATACGGGTATGTCATCGAAACGCCTAGATTTCACATTTTCGAAGACATGTTCTTAATGTTCGTGACAGACTCGGATTTATTTTTTTGTAGCAAATAATTGTACGAGGAAGGTTATGGATGAGGGTTTTCGCACCGATAGGGGCGCTGGCGTCGTTTTAGACTGACAATTTATTGCTATTGTAGCCCTATAACTATTGTAGAGTGAGTTTGGTAAGTTATTGATCACTATTTTTTAACCCTTTTTAGTTATAAGATTTTGAAAAAGGTGGGATATCGATTTTTTTATTACAGTAATCAAGAACGTTGAACAAAAGGCGGACATAATATCACTTAGAAAACATTGAAGCACCAAAGTGTCAGTGGGTTATTTATGTGTGCTTGCATAATGGAATATCACGTTACCAAACTTAACTCGAGTACCGTCATTATAGACACAATTATAGAACAATAGGTTGCGGTCACCGGTGACCGCTTGGTGTGTGACAGTTTAAGAAAATGACAGATGTCCTTCGTGTCAATGTGTGTTCGACGTGTAAGTCTATAGTAGCCAGGTGCCACAGTCGTTGTTTCAAGAGACTCTGTTCGCCTTTTCTCAACGTCCTTTACAATAATACAGAGTACACCTACGCATCAAATATATTATGTAACTAGCTTTTACCCGCGGCTTCACCCGCGTATTATATATCCTGTTTTGTCTTATGGGAGCTTTTAATCGGGATAAAAAGTATTTTTATTTATTTATTTACACTTTTTGCAATCGTATACAATGGCGAACATAACTCGTCGAGTACCGGTTTTGTAGACACAATTATAGAACAATAGGTTGCGGTCACCGGTGACCGCTTGGTGTTTGACAGTTTAATGCCTAGTTGCATTCTCTAACAGTCAACCTTAGGGTATGCAGAGACACAATAGTAGATGTAAAAGTTTAACACTGTTGTGAGTGAGTTAGAGAACAACAGTTTAACTTATATAATTATACATATCACACAATATAATATACTAATTAAACATAATGAAGAAGTATTAAAATATATACGTAATGCAAAAAGAACAGTAGACAAATATATAAACATATATTTTATCACCTAAGTCATCCCATACCCTGTCTGTATATCAAATTTTATCAAAATGCGTTCAGTGGTTTCAGCGTGATTGATGGACAAACATTCAAAGGTCCAAACAAATAAACTATTACATTTTTAATATTATAGTGTCATATAACGTTTGTAAAATGAAACGACGCTTGAAAGTGACAAGTAACGACTGACTTTATTTTAAATTATAAAACAACAACATAGACAAACATAGACAAGGATTATTGTTTATGACATTTTTAACCCGCTTACATATCTTATCAATATTATGTATTAATTATTTTGATGCATTACAACAGTTTGTAAAATTAATTATGGCTAACCACGAACCACAAGTGCCTATGCTAATAGAGACACGCAATTGAACATTCGATATTTGTAAACGTAGATCCATTTGAAGCTGTATGTATAGGTTCTTTTTTATTTTTTTTATATTTCTTATTCTCCACGGACTCTTGTACGTGCCTGTGTTATTCAATTACATTTTAAATTAACTAAAAATCGCGGGTTAGTCACGTGAATATACTGAGAAAAGCTCTACTAGTTTCGAACTATAGAGGGGTTCTTCCTCTCATGAGGACCGCGGTCGCGGCGATGTCAGATATCACTGACAAACAGTGAAGGAAAACATCGTGAGGAAACCTGGGCTTATAATTTCTAATTGTAAGTCTGTAATCGCCAATCCGCATTGAGCAAGCGTAGTGATTAATGCTCAAACCTCCTCCGTGTGAGAAGAGGCTTTGCTCAGCAGTGGGCATTTATAGGCTGTTGATGATCCTGCTTAATTTTGTATCATAAATTGTTCTTAAAAACTTATTATGTAATGCATTTTAAGTTATAATAATGAAGTAATAACAGAAAAAAAGTATTTTTAGTATTATCACTACGGATCCCTTCGCATGCTTCCAACACGGAATAAGTAAATTTCACGTCCTAATGTCTTCCTCTTAATTCTTGTGGACTGTATAATATTCTCCAATAAAGAAAAAAATAATCCATCCGCATCTTTATTCCGACGAAATAAGGTTGAATTTTCTAGTATTTCTTTCACAGGCTTTGTGACCATAGCCAGGGCTATAAAACGGTTCAAATGAATGATTCTGAATGGCTCTAGTTCTGGCTTTGTCCCGAGTTTATACGAACTTCATAGTTTGTTTGTCCTTGACCGTCCTTGACACTTAGAATTAAGTTTTGCCGCCCATTCTAAGTTCCCGTCAATCACTGTTGGAGTGTTAGTTCTCACGAGACTTAAGGACTGTATAAACTAAGTTTGTCTTGAAGCTATGTAAAATATTTTCCTTTAAGTTTGCCTCTCGCTTGTTGTTCTTTATATATTTAGTAGGAGAAAATCTAGGACTGTTCAAAAGGGCGTGTAACTTTTATTTACAATTAATAACATAACTTGACGCCGTTTTATCCCCGAAGGAGCAGAGGTGCACATTACGGCACTTAATGCCACTGTACAATGTAACACCCACTTTTCACTTTTTATGTTATGAGCCCCATGTAATAGGGGGTGAGCCTATTGCCATTTACCCCAGTAATACTTTGCCCGACCCGGGAATCCAACCCGAGACCCCTTGCCCGCAGTCGCACTTGCGACCACTCGGCCAACGAGGCAGTCAATTAATAAACACAATTAATATAAACTTAAAGAAAAGGCGTAGGTTGATATTATTGTCAAAATTAGGGAACGAGATATGATCATGATTGTACAACCTCTTTAATATTTTTTCGAGCTATGATAGCACTCTTATGGACATGATGAGCAGATGGATAGGATATGCGTTAATTTAATGAATCGACATAGTCCTATTGTTTAACAGTCGTTTATCATCCCCAATCATCATTGTGAACTAAATATTCAACACAATTTTCTTTATCAAATATTACCTAATGAAGCTATGTTTATCGTCCTTTAAATCAGAGTCTATTCATACTCAGCTCATATTGTAGATTATATTCTTAAAAATACTAAACAAAAATCTGGCCAGATGTGTACGGTCTAATGAAACCTTCATAGGCTTTGATATGCAGAGAGAGTACGTCTAAATTATTCAGGAATGTTGTAATCAAAGGCCTTCAATGAGAATGGTTCCCCAAGACGTGGAGAAAGAAATATGCTTTAATTTACATCAACTTTATATGAAAATGCAAAACAGATTCGAAAGGACACCCCAGTAATAAAAGCAGCGGTAGACGTTACAGGTTTTATTAATAAGGTTGTAAATAAAAAATTGTAAAAATATGTTTCTATAGTACTCTACAGACTATTTCCATTCATCGGGATCTCTGTAGGACACTGCGTATAGTTGTGTGCAATCGTTAAACACCTTCGCTTTCTTACACACATCGTGGTCCAAATTCATTCCATTAATGTTCTGAGCACAGGTCTCTCCGACGTCCGAGATCAATATCCTCGGATCGTACCTGTGTATCGCTTGCACTCTCCTGTAGTAATTCTTTATGTTTATGTAACCATCATTCGTCATTATACCGAATTTTTTGAGCACACAATGTATTATACAAGGTATATCATTCCTATCAATACGCAGAGGATACTTATACAAGTTCCGTGGGTACATTTCCGTTAAACAATCATCTGTTACTTTATCACTTTTCTTGTCACGCGCGTACAGGATCGAGATCGGAGGTTCTGACTCCAAGCTTTGTGAGAAAAACTTTGTTTTGAAGCTGTTCACTACAACAGCTAGCGATAGGAAAGTCGTGAAGATGAGTATTTCTGAAAGTATTTCAACAAACAGTTACGTACAACAACGCTAGCATTACAAACTGGGGAACAGCGTTGTTGTAGTATGAACGTGGAAAAGTTCCAACAATGTCAGCGGTTCAGTGGACACAAATGACAATGTAATATGATTTCACTCAAACAGAGTTCTCGAGAAAGTTCTGCTAGATGCGAACATTACACAAATGAAATTTCTGCAGCCATTAAAAGAATTTCTTATTCTATTTCAAAGGAATTAATCTAAAGTTTAAATCGTTTGTTGGTCTGCAGATATCTCTGTTTCAGACCTTTCATAACGTTCTATTGTTACGAAAGATCGAGACTCGACCTGAGCATCTTTGGTATCAATAAAATAAAATCCACTTACTTTCCATTGCAGTAGTTTTGTAGTAAATATCACAGTTACGTCACGCCGTGTAACACTGGGACATCATTACACAAGTCCAACAAAATTACTGAAAGCTGAAACAGAAGAAATCTGGTATTTTCCTTTCCTTACGCCAGGAAATGTATTGTTTCAAAAATTCAAGTGTAATGTTTTATATACTAGTCGAAAACTGCAAAACAATCGACCATTGTTCAAGATGGTACGATAAGAGCCGCAAACAGGTCGACGTAATGTAAAAAATGACCAAAATTGCCAGGTGTTGAGCACGTAGAAATGTATTTTTTATATTTAATTTTCGTTAAGTACCGAATAAAATTGTGAATGCCAAAGCTTTCAATGGAATTGGTGTTATTGGGCACGCTTTATATTTAAGTCTTCACACAATTGGCAACACTCTTCAGAATTGGATTTATTTATGGCAAACAATACTTTTTTATTTCCTTACAAATTCGTGTGGAGCGTGTTCATTGGATTATGTTGTTCAATATTTTTGTTCCACTTGAATACTTCGTGGAAATTTTCTTTGTTTTATTTTTATTTGTTGTATTGTCTTGGGTCACTGAGAGGACTTTAAAAACGAAACGGATCGTTCTTTTTACTGGTCTATTACTGCTGGTTAATGATGGAGAGCCTTCGGGAACAATTAAAAATGTAAGCTAACTAAATGGGTCCCGGCAGATTTCAATTTGATTTTTCCTGTTCGCCAGTTTCGTTTGAGTAGAACTGTTCTTTGTTCGATGCCGCTGTGGTTTTATAGTACTGAAATGGCAAATTCCCTCATTAGTTTTTATGGAGTGATACCTAATTGGATTGTTTTCTTAATTAATGTCGCTATTAAAATTCTCGAACGTGATTGATTATAGTTATGTAAGTCATTATTCGTGTTTCAATGCAAGCAAAGGTTGTTCAAGTTTATTAAAGTTATATAACTAGTAATCGTTGATTCCCTATAATTATTTTGTGTTTTGTTTCTTTTCCGTAGTTAATCTGAATTGCATTTTAATGACAAAATACCAAAGAGAATGTTATATTGTAACTAGTATGTCTATAGCTACAGGTTCAGAACTTATCAGGAATAACATTATGACTTATAGAAATACCTCAGATATACTATTAAAAAACGGGTTCATAACCTACAAACGGCAAGTACCAATGTGACTCTTTTCGAGTTCATTATAACGCGTGCTAAAAGTAATTGGAAAGTACTCCTAATATACTTTCTAAGATTATTTTTAAACACAACTGACATAAGGTACAGGAAAATATCCTGAGGAAACCCGGACCTATAATTTATAATTATAAGTTACAATTAATTAATAATATTAATTTATAATTATAAGTTCGAAAATATTGATAATCATCCCCTTAATGGGAAAAACGTTCTGTCAGTTGTTTTGATCCTTGAATCATCTTTACGATTTTTAAACTTCTTAGCAGAATTTTTACAGCTTACAATTTTTTATTTGCCACGACTTCGTCCACGTGGATAAGAGTTTTATGACATAACTGTTACTCCTTAGTACATCAGCCATCTGCCAATAAAAGCCATGTCAAAGTCGGTCAAGCCATTTCAGATATTAGCCAGTACAATAGGCAGACAACAATTTTAAAAGATGTTATTTTGGACTGCCTCGTTGGCCGAGTGGTCGCAATTGCGACTGCCGGGTAAGGGGTCTCGGGTTCGATTCCCGAGTCGGGCAAAGTATTACTGGGTTTTAAAAATTCTCAGTAGTAGCACGGAGTCTGGAACTGTGCCCGGTATATGGCAATAGGCTCACTCCCTATTACATGGGTGGGACTCATAACATAAATAGTGAAAAGTGGGTGTTACATTGTACAGTGGTATAATGTGCACCTCTGCCTACCCCTTCGAGGATATAAGGCGTGATGTTATGTTATTTTGGTATATATGTATATATCGTGTGCATGTAGTAAATAGCGGTTATTTCAATCTTACAAGCAGACAATGGCCTGCGTCTAAAATATTTTAATAACAATTTTTTTTTATCATACATGAATTAAAAAGTGCACATAGCAGGTAAGTATATGTACATATATTATACAAAACACATATTACAACTGGTAAAGAGTGTTCCAACAAGAACATCTCTGTCAACTCCTTTGGGGAACGGAAGGCGTGACGTTTGGTAACATATTTCCAACAATCAGAGAAATCTTTTCATATGGGAATATGAAGTTACATATAATATATTATTATAGTGTGTTGTTGATATGGGAATCTTTATACAAATAATACGAAACTCATAACTCATAACTTTCCTTTATTCGATACGTGGTTGATTTATCTTCTTTAGTTACTCTTGACGTTTGTTTCGTTGTATTCATATAAAATAAAAGCTGTTTTATATACAAATATGAGTTCGTTTATGGATATAAATGGTGTTTTTTAGAAACTAGATAAATTTTATTTATTTGGAGTTTGTCTCGTCGGCCCAGTGGTCGCAAGTGCGACCTGCCGGGCACGGGGTCTGGGGTGCGATTCCCTAGTCGGGCAAAGTATTACTGGGTTTAAAAAAAATCTCAGTAGTAGCACGGAGTCTGGAATTGTGCCCGGTATATGACAATAGGCTCACCCCCTATTACATGGGACTCATAACATAAATACAGTGGCATAATGTGCACCTCTGCCTACCTCTTCAGGGATAAAAGGCGTGATGTTATGTTATGTTATGTTTTTATTTATCCATTAATTCATTTTTAGGTTTCATATTATTTTAGATTCACATTATTATTTCAGGCTTCATAGGCCCATATCGAATACTAATAATTTTTTTTTAATACTATACTTACATTGTTATTACATAATTATTAAGTGTGGAAGAGCCATGCTTCGGCACGAATGGGCCGGCTCGACCGGTGTGATACCACGGCCTCACAGAAAACCGACGTGAAACAACGCTTGCGTTGTTGTGATTCGTCGTGTGAGTGAGGTTACCGGAGGCCCAATTACCCCCCTAGTCTCCCGAATCCCTGAATCCTCCACAATCCTCAAATTCAAATTCACAACAGTCCGGTAACGCACTTGTAACGCCTTGGTGTTTCGGGTGTCCATGGGCAACTCCGATTGCTTATCATCAGGTGATCCGTCTGCTCGTTTACCGGCTTTTGCTATAAAAAAAATATTAAGTAGTTACTTTATAACTAGTACTTAGACAGTCCAGAAGTACAAAGATCTGCTGATATGCGATAGATCGTAAGTAGTTAAAAGGCTCAGATTTGTAGGTGAGACATTGCTTGGTCTTTGTCAAAGAGTAGTCCTTAGTTAGCTTTTTCACCACTCATCAGAAGAGTGATATACATACATACATATCTTCACGCCTGCCTCCAATGGAGGTTTTTTTTAAGGGGGGAAAATCATCGAATGCCTGCTCCCGCCTGGGTGAGGCGGAAGGGAGTGTCAGACTCTTACTGACTAAAAACCACCCCGTTCCTTCTCCTGCACGTCGAGCCGGAGCCCCGGTTACCCGTTAGGTTCTCCGCAACGCAGAGACTATGGAACGCCAATTACTATGACTCCTACATACCTCTTTCGCTTCATCAACAGTCATCAATCTTTCATGGTAACTAGTAAAAACTCTGCTGTCACAATGTTATGGCTCAACTCTCTTTGGATTTTAACAAAATTAATCCATCTATACACACATTAATCACAAAATTAATTAAAAGTAAACATTAAATAATTTTTGTATTTTTATTTTTTTGTAGTACACACGACCACACATCAACCTATACAAAACCAGTTTATCCTGGTGTCGCATCGCATCTTCTTTCCGCACATTTAACGTTCAGTTTATACTGGTTATGGAAAGCTCGATGTGTAGTCGTGTGTACCTTCCTACCAATCAATTTCATATGACGGTGACCGTCATTGATAAGACTTGCGTTGTTCGAGGAATTATTAATGAAACAGAAGCTGGACTCGTAAATTGTACGAGTACCTTATAGGTATTTTTTTTTGAATGGGGAATGTCATCGAATGTCTGCTCCCGCCTGGGTGAGGCGGGAGGGAGTGTCAGACTCTTACTGACTAAAAACCACCCCGTTCCTTCTCCTGCACGTCGAGCCGGAGCCCCGGTTACCCGTTAGGTTCTCCGCGACACCTTATAGGTTTAATATCGCCATAAATGGTTCCTTATCATATGTCATTAAATTGGCAATAAATATGTATAAGTGTATTTGTCTGCCTCGTTGACAGAGTGGTTACAAGTGCGACTGCCGGGCAAGGGGTCTCGGGTTCGATTCCCGGGTCGGGCAAAATATTATTTATTTATTTATTTAGTCTTTAATGTACACAATTTGATTATGGCACATAAGGCGAACTTAATGCCATAATATGGTATTCTCTACCAGTCAACAAAAAATATTACTGGGTTTTTAAAAAAAATATCAGTATTAAAACGGAGTCTGGAATTGTGCCCGGTATATGGCAATAGGCTTACCCCCTACTACATCGGACTCATACATAACATAAATAGTGAAAAGTGGGTGTTACATTGTACAGTGGCATAATGTGCACCTCTGCCTACCCCTTCGGGGATAAAAGGCGTGATTTTATGTTATGTAATTGTATTTGTAATTTTGTTTGGGGAGTTAGTGGATGTGGGTGGCGAGTTGTCTTTCGACGTGGAAGGTTAAGGGCCTCCCCCTTTGTCCAGCAGTGGACGTCTTCCAGCTGTTGATGATGATGATGATGAATTGTATTTGTTCGCCTCTGTCTATCTATTTGGGGAACTAGACGTGATTGATGTGTAAAACAATGCTTGTTTTTATACCACCAGTACATTGCAGCCAATATAAAACCTATATAGTATCTAAAATGTATTTTATTTATTTATATTCTATTAATTAAAATCACAATAAAACAAAATACGTCAACAATTAAAATATAAAATCCTCATATGTTGACTGTTGATTTTTTCAAACCAGTGTTGCAATTCCAAAAATACATTTCGTAGTGTTGCCACGTTTCGTTACAGGGGAATTTAAAGCGGAACATTTGTTCGGAGATATCTCTTAATTTAATGCGATGCGTGGAGATAAAGGAAATATATTTTAATGTTTTCCTTTGTTTCTAGCATTGTACAAACAATACAATTAACGAATTGATTTATTAAGAAATTGTGGAGTAGTTTCGTGTGTGAATAGGTCTGTTCAAACGAGGTTGGTTAAATTAAAATAAACATTCAACCAATTTGCGTAATAACACGTTACTCTTTTGAAGTATGACAACTTGAATATGCCTATACATGAGCAAATTGCCATAAATAGGTAGTGCTTGAAATTACAGTTTGTCTATTTATTAATGCATATCAATGAGGGCACCGTGTCGTGTCGTAATGTTGTGGTGGCCCGGACGTTTAAGACGCCCACTTCTCATGCATGAGGGTGCGAGTTCGAAACCTACCAATGGCAAGTACCAATGTGACTTTTTCCGAGTTATATGTACTTTCTAAGATTATTTAGACACCACTGACAAACGGTGAAACGAAAAACATCGCGAGGAAACTTGGACTTATAATTTCTAATTATAAGTTTGAAATCGCCAACTTGCATTGAGCAAGCGTGGTGATTAACGCTCTAATTTTCTCCGTATGAGAAGAGGCTTTGCTCAGCAGTGGGCATTTAT